CTGCTCAGCAGGGAGTCTGCTTCTCCCTCTGCCCCTCCCCCTGCTTGTGCTCTCTCTCTCTCTGACAAATAATTAAATAAAATCTTTTAAAAAATAAAATAAAAAATTATCCTTTTTTAAACAAAAATTATCCTTAAATCAGAGAAGAATGTTGGCCCTTTCACATTTACTTTTTATATTTATTCCTTTTAAATGAAACTCTCTTCCAGATGTTTATCAAAGCCCTCTTTGACTATGACCCTAATGAGGATAAAGCAATTCCATGTAAGGAAGCTGGGCTTTCTTTCAAAAAGGGAGATATTCTTCAGATTATGAGCCAAGATGATGCAACATGGTGGCAAGCAAAGCACGCAGGTGATGCCAATCCCAGGGCAGGCTTGATTCCCTCAAAGCATTTCCAGGAAAGGTGAGCTCCTGGCACGCCATCATAGTCTCTCTTCAAATGACCTTTTGTTCTCTGCAAAATATCACTCGAGGAGAGTTGTGATAAAATGAGCACTAAAACCTTGCTTTAGAATCCTTTATCCCTCAGGTTTGGATTTCTGTTTTGTCTAACTAAGGATGAATAATGACCAAAAATAATATGACAGGACCAGGTCATACTCGGTTTTTGTTATGAAGCAAATGGAAAAATAGCACATTAATATCTGAAACTGTATTGATGTGAAAGATGGGGGGGAATGAAGAGTGATTTTGGAGTGGGGATGATTTATAAAACTCTGAAAGTAGAGGTTTTATTTTTTAATTTGAATAGATTGCATTGTGCTCATTTTTTCCCCTGGCTTCCCTTTTTTTTTCCCCCCTTGGGACTTTTAATATTTTGGTGTTATATTAATCTTGGATCTGTACTGAAAATTGATAGGCATTGACCTTCTTTTTCCCCCAGGAGATTGGCTCTGAGACGACCAGAAATATTAGTTCAGCCCTTGAAAGTTTCCAACAGGAAATCATGTAAGTTTGTTAATAAAAATGCAGAGTAACCAAATCTTGCTGTTTATTTTTGACTATTAAAGCAGGTGTTTGTGGGACAACGAGAGCTCGTAGTGCCTTGTGATAGCTTTTGGATCATCATTTCACGGCAACCAAATAAGAAACTCACAGTAGAATATTAAAGTGAATCTTTTGAAGAAAGGGGTGTTTGCGGTTGTTTATGATAAACCCATGACTCACACTTTAAGAAACTAACTAGCAACACTACTCTCCTTGACTTCTGAATGTAGGTGTTTTCATAAATGTAACCTCAAATGCAACTCTTTTATTTCTCCAAAGCTAGAAGGTTTGGGTAAGACACTTCTTGGTAAAATTAGGAGGGGAAAATCTACCACTTTCTTGGGCACAAAGGCAATTGAGCCTAAGAAGAGTTGCTGTTCTTCTTAACTCCTTGCTTAACCAGAAATCATATCTTTAACTGATCTTTAACTCGCCTGTTTGGAGTCGTTACAAGATGAGATTAAAACAAAGTAAGAACAGGAAAAGGATGAGGTATGATTACTGAAAAGAAGATAGTGTGGATTTGGGCGCATTCTTTTTCTCCTTCATACTCCCCTTCTCTCAGCTTCTCTTTTACTCCCCACCCCCTCACTCCTGTCAAGTCCCATCCCATAAATTTCTACTTCATCTCCTCTAAACGTTTCATGGTTCTAGGTATTTTAAGAGTAAAAAAAAAGCCTTTTGTTTTCAACATAGAGATTGTACATTAAAAGGCGAAATGCACAAATAAATGGTCCTGGAATTTTACACCAACATCTGGTTTTAGTATTGTTGCATTTTTCACATCTCCTGTTATTTCTGTCAGTTTGTAGACGTGTATAGCCCAGGAATTACATTATAAGAGAGCCAAGCTACAGTCGAGTATAAATCTCACAAGCAAGCAAATACTTCAAGTGGAGCACTGATTCAAAAGCCTGCTTGTTCTTGCTCCGTTAAGTCTGGGCAGAAGGAAAACACACTTGTCATGGAATGCCACATGGACTGTGACATCAGAAAGCATACAGTTTAACCAGAAGTTTGCATTGTTTTTAAGTGTGATGAATTTTTGCTGGCAGGGGCTCTGAGGCATCCACCTGACTTGCTCTTGGAGGGATTTCTAAATTGGGGGCCTGCACACTTGGTGCATGTGGGATAAAGTGTGTGTAACTTGAAAAGGAAATCAATGTGATTCTACTCGAATCTGAATCCATGCTCCCAATTTGTTTGAGTCTTAGGCAACTTAGAAATGTCCAGTTTGATATAGTTGTGGATTTTCATTTATTTGTTTTTATAAATGTGCTGCTTTAAACAACTACTCGGAATGGGTATATTGTCTTTCTAATAGATCTCCTCAAACTGGTTTCAGTATAAATGTGTGTGAATGTCAGAGGGATTTTGTGTGTGCGCGTGCATGCACATGCACGCACGCCTGCATGCACGTGTGTAGAGCTGTTAATTGTAATGGGTGATTTTTGTCTGTTAATATGCAGAGTTTTTTATATGATAATCTTGAATATTTGAGTCTAAGAAATATTTATTCCAAAATTACTGAAATGTCATTATCTGGATGTTTTAAGGTTTTTTGTTTTTGTTTTTTTGCTTTTTCTGCCTCTTGAAGACCATTTAGGAATGTTTACTGTTTCCCATTCACACTTCCTTCCTTTTCTTCTTTTCTATTTTTTGAAAACTGGACTTGATTCACGGAGAGATGTATTGGTGGTTCTCATATACGGATGTTCTCTATTTTTAAATAAAACCAAATTGGGTCAATATTACCCAGATCACTAGTGTATAGTAAATATGGCCTTATTCAGAGAGACAGTCTATGTCTATGAAGCTTAAATAGAAAGCTAGTACTTTTATTGTCAAAGAATTAAAAATTCCATTTGAAGTTTTTTTTTTTAAATGTTGTCTCCTAAACCCCTGAACTCCAAAGTTATGCAAAAATTGTTATACTGCTTCTGAACATTTTTAAAGTTATTTAAAAGCACTGTGTTCTATAATCTGTGTATCTGATAGTGATTCTTTACATAACTACCCTTATAAATTGCAAAGGCCATCTAACCCAACACTTCCTGGACTTCAACATTTGGTACTTAGATTTTTAGGATAGGACATCCATATCGTGCTCTTTGCTAAATTACAGAATAACACTATGAAGAAAAATAGAAAGTTAACATAAAATCTTTTATATATATGACTTTGAATAAAAATTCATAGACTAGGTTTTAAGAAACACTTCTAATTTAATGTAAACATTTTAAAAGAATAATTCTGTCTTGTTGGTGTTTTATAAGGGTATTAAGAAATAGTCATGTTGATAATTTTCTGTACTAAATTTTACAAGTGCTCTTAAAACCTAGGAGATAGTGTTAAACAATGAATTTAGAATAATGACTTTAGTCAGGTAATAATATGTATCAAATTAGCCAGTTAACTTTTTTCACATAATAATTGCTTGACTTACTGTGGTTTTACTCTTTGACTCAACAATCATCATAACTAAAGTTTGCATGGAGGAAAAGCTCTGGAACTCTATGGGCTCAGTCAATGTCAAGATCAAAGTCAAAAAGGATTGGAGAAGGCATTTATGTTTGTGCTAGAGCTGTAGATAAATTCAGGAGCCATAATACTGACATCTTCAGGCCTTAAAACTGGCATCTTCATGCAAAACTCTGTGGTATTCATCTTTGATGCTTGGTTATTTCCTCCCCTTAAGAATCTTGGCATATCTGGTACAGATTGAGAAAATAGGCTTCTCAAACAATCTTGAAATTAAACATTCCTAAAAAATATGAACTCTTAAAACTAAAGCATAAGTGAATCTTAGAAGCTTGATAGAGGGACTCATCCCCACTTCCTCCTGTTGTTTCAAAGAATAGCTTACCTAACAGAGAAATTGGCAATAGAATTCTGTGTTCCCTCCCTTTCTCCTTCATCTGATGAGAGGTTCTTACGTAATGGATTTACATTAGTAACAGAAACAGAAGAGCAGCCTAGAAGTCTGATAGGTTCTCTTTGACATGACCAACTTTTAGATTATTACATGAAAGACACAGGTTAAGTGTTTTGGAAATGAGTTAAAAGCGTATCCTATGTCTCAAGTAACATATAGGAGGAGTTTTCATGACAGCGACTTGGCAGCTTGCAATTCTTGTGTCGATATAATTTAAAGTATTCTATGATTTTTCTGCCAAAAAGCTTATTTTTTATAGTTCAGTTGCATATATAAAGCAATATGATATTACCTAACCTTATCTAAAAAGCGATATGATTTTCTTTGGTTTATTAAAATATTGTTTGTTCCCTTTCTATTGAAATTAAACTTCATAAGTTTTTTGTCTTCCTAATAATACAAACATTAAAAACTTTGACTTCAATAGTATAGAACTTATTTAAATCTAATTTTACAGTGTATTCCACAAAGCTTCTTCTTATTCAAGTAGTGTATTTTATAGGAGAATATTCCAGTATGATTTTTATTTATGGTGCTTAGTTTCTTTTTTTAGTTCTCAAAAGTATAAATACCTTAAAAGATCTCATACTGCTGACTGAATAATATTAATTTAAAATTTTTCTTTTACAAAATAGCTTTTATAGAATTTTTGTAATAAAAAAGTCCAGAAGGTATGATTTATGTTTTTAAAGATTAGAAGGTAAAAATACAAAATATTGTATTTTAGAATCTATTTTAACCAGTTGTGGCTGCTGTCATGTGGGTACAAAAGAAAATATTTAACTGGAGCCAGAGGTGGCCATTCAAACAGCATATAACCGAGTTCATTCAAAGACAGGCATTTTGTGGATTGAAGATCACAGTCTAGCAACAGTACAGTTTAAACACTGAGTAAACAAATGAATTTGCTCTGCATGGTACCAATATTTTGGAAGGCCAAACATTTGAGAATAATATATGTAACATTCCAGGTTGTTATAATACAACTTTTCAAATTGAGTAAGCTCCTTTCTCCTAGCATCTTAAACAGTATTTATTTAGTGTGTTCATATATAAAGTTAATTCAGAAATTAACAAGTAGATTGCTTATGTTTAAATTTGTATGCCTAAAACTCTGTCAAATATTTCTTAATATTGGTGGGATTTTGTGTTAACAGAAACATGGGGTTTTAAAAAATACTGAAAGTGGGTTTTTCCCCCCCCTAATATTTACTGATATTCTTTGGGAAATGCCAGAGTTCAGAGATTGTGTGGAGAGAGGTGCAGATGAACTAGGCTTGTAAATTGTATGTCTGACTGTGTCAGGAGATGGTTGAGGTGATGGCCTAATTGTTATTGCTCACTTTTCATCTTAGTAGACTGTGTTCTTCTTACATAAATTGAAAATGTTCTTCTAAAACACTATCAGGGTCTGTGCTGTTAGCTTTTCCATATGAAGGGTTTTAAGCCATACCCACTCTTGCCTTTTGTCTTGGGGACCCAATGCTGTGCAGGTAAGAAAGAGTTGATTAAGGATTAAGGGTGTGGTCTATGGTCACAGGTTATTTCAGACTTGTAGGGAAGATTGCATGTGGGCAGAGGGAGGCATAAGAAAGCAGTTTCTAGGGTGGGAAATTTAACTTTGCCCCCGTAAATACGATCATACCTATTTAGACACAATTTCTCCACTTGTCAAGAGTATCTGACATTGCACGGCTGCGAGTAGCTAGCATCCGGCAGTGTAGAAAAGTTCCTCCTGTCCTGTTACGTGAAGCTCATCAAATGCTCTTCATGAGAGCTTTCCACTCCATTTTCTGAAGACATCCACAATTATTCTTTGTGACTTTGTTGTCCTCTCCTCTGTGATTTTTGTAATTTTCCCATCCTGCTCTTCAGGGCTTGAAGATGTGGAGAGTGGACTCCTGATAGGCTGGGGAGAGTCTCCCCCAGACTCTTCAGTCAGGAGAAACACACTTGGGAGGGTCAAGTGTCAGGGGAGGGGTCAAGAGGCTTGTACGCTGGGAGGTGGTGGAGAGTAGACCGGAAACTTGAAAGAAACTTCCTTCATTTGACCTCTCCACCGACGTACATTTCCTAGCGTAAAGTTAGAGTAATTAAAAAGTGATTTTGGTGTGACAGTATAGCATAGTAGTTAAAAACACAGACTCTGGAGCCAGATTGTGTGGGTCCCTGTCCCAGAATGCTTCATTTCTCTGTCCCTCTGATTCCCATCTGTAAGACGGAGATAACCATACTGGCTTCATAGAGTGGTGGGAGAATTCAATAAGTTTATGCATTTAGTGTACACAGAACAGTGCCTTAGTTAAAAATATAGTTAAGAATCGTGCAATTATCCCAAATGTCTTCTGAGATCACCCTTTTATATGTTTTCCTCTTTGTTCAAACTTGCTAAGTGTAAGGAAGAGTGTTCTTTGCTTTTCCTACCGGCTGTCCATGAAGAATGTTGCTGGCTTGGATATATATGCATGTGGGTTATCATGCAAAAAATACCATTCTCTTCCTACGTAAAGCATGGGGAAAATATTCTTCTGAGAACGTACACAGTGTATTCACAACCTTTTATTAGAATATGAAACATACTATACTATATGTGACATGGAGATGGTTATTTTTATTCTGGATTGACTTCGGTGTTTTAATTTTTTTCTTATGTGCGTGCGTGTGAGAGAGAGAGATGGCTTTTATCATCTGTTGTACGTGACACTGGTTCTTTAATCATGGTGCAACACTCAGTCAGTCCTATTGTTCCTTCAGAAAATATACCTTCTGTTTAATAATCCACATAATGGTTGAGTGTCTGAGATTGCAGATTGAACCATCTGAAACACTGCTTGTATTATTTCCACTAAGCCTAGTTGCTTGGCTTGGCTAATCCGTATCACATAGTTGATTGTTTGTTTTCTGATAATTTGTCTTAGATGTACATGACATTTCAGAGCTACTAAGGAATGAGTGTAAATAAATTCACAACTTGGGTGACTCACAATTCGAGTCCAAATAATAATGATTTGCTTGTCATTTTTGCGAATTATGTTCAAATAGAACCAATCCAGCTGGAGCACCCATAGGCTTTGGAAAAATAAAAAGACAGTGGTGCACACTCGCTCCTAAGTGTTTTTTTTGACTGACATTCTGTAGTTTGGAGAGAGAGGTGAGCCAGAAACTGTCCCAATCAGTCCTATTCGCTCTACAAAGTCTTGTAGAGAAAAATGTTCTACCTTGATTTGTGGTTCCATTTTGCTTCTATTAAATTGCCAGTTCTTTTTCCACCTTTAACTGAAGGTGAGTTTCCTAAGTCACACACAACTCTTAAATTTCTTTCCTATGAGTAACAATTAGTAACAATTAGTAATTTTTAGAATTATTTTTTTAAAATACCTTTTAGCAAATAATATAGCCAGAATGAAGTAAAGAGTTCTTCCTGACTCATTTCATATGTGTAATAAGTTGATAATACTGTTAACTTTACAGGGTATTGAGATATTTTAAGGGCATTTTAAGGGTTATTTCTAAGTATGTATCCTAAGTGTTAAACAGACAGATTAGTTTACAAACAGAAATGTCCTATGAAAATAATCCCCCATTGAAGGTATTATTTTGAAAAACTTGTTTTTTCCCTTATTATTTTTCCCATTTGGGCATTTAATAAACTGAATGAAGGCTTTGTGCTTTTACTGCTTTAGTATATACATTCTTTTTAGACCAAGACTACAGTGCAGTCTAAAATGCAGTTTTTCGTGAATTCTGTTTATATGTTGACTAATAATTTTGAAATACTTAAAATACATTTTTTCCCCTTTGGCTTTTCTAAGATGAGGAAACAATTGAGTGTGGTAGGTGGATTTTTTTTTTCTCCCTCAGATGCATCTTCTTCTTACTTTAATTGTATTTTCTGCACATTTAATCATTTCCTTTCTCATTTTCTTTGTGCTTCTCAGAGGAAATTAAAGGTACATGTATGAAAGCTTCCCTGCCATAGTCTACTAATTTTATTTAGTACACCTATGTGTGGATTCGATTGAATATAGCAAGTAGTTTATAGAAGATTATTGTAAATCCAAGCTTCCATTTGATGTTACAGTACCAAAAATCATGGTTGGACTCTCTTTGAGAACTGCACTATTTTTGCTTTGTATAGCAGAAATAAAGAAAGTGATCTGAAACAGTACATCATGTTTTTGTCTCTGTCGGTAGTCTCAGTGTTATTCGGTTATATTGACATCCTTATTTTAACATAAGGATGTCAGGTGAATCTTCTCAACTATCTGATATCAGCACATGCTGTGCTGTTAGTTCCAGAAGCATATTTATGTGAAGATAAGAGGCCTAAAGTAGTAAGTACCCACTACAATTAAATTTTTAAGATATGCATAACCCAGTTTTCACTTCACTCCAACAAATAATTAATAACACATCATTTATTTTAAAATGTTTTCATCCGTTCATTTCTCAAAAACCAAATAAAAATAGAAATAGTATGCCTTTATTCCTTCCCAACACAGAATTTCTTCCTATCCAAAGAAAGGATGTCTCTTAATCTTAACCTTTCTGTCTAATCCAGTGAGCCAAAGTAATTGCTGTATTTTACATATTATCAAAGAGCCTGATTTACAAAAATAAATTTACTTTGGGGGATCAAGTGTTGTAATTTTCTTAGCTATGGAAAGTATAAGGAGTGTAGGCAGATCTTTTATAATTTTCTTGGAACTGCATCAAGGAACCTCTGAAGGAGGCTGAAACATGAATTGCATGATGTTTTAAAACATTACTTTAAGCTTAAATATAAAACACAATGTTTTATGTTTAAGAGTGGCATTGTGAGGGCTGTTCTATGCTGTGCTTTACATAATTGTTTTTAAGTAATTTATTTTTTGCATCTGTGGCTGGGCTTCTAACTGTTCTGCTTTATTTCTTGGCTTTTGTTCTGTATGCTTTTACACTCCATCCAGAAGATGCTGAATATGCTGGTAACCACAGTGGAACCTATATAGGTGAGCAATTGGTCATGGAAGAGGATTTCTTTCTTTCTGTTGCTTTCTCCAGAACCATTATAAATTGTTTTACCTTAAATTAGCATATTTGCACTAGCATGCTCTGATGTTCGGTGGGGGGTAGCATGACCCTTTATGTTAAACAGGCTCAATGGGTTGGACATAAAGGAATTCATAGTGTGCTTTTGTGTTGTTGTTCAAGAAGCTTTCCAGTTGCTACATTTTTGTAAATCATTATTTTTGGGTAGAAGTTGAAAAACGTTTGTGGCTAAGTCATTTTACTCAGTTAACAGTGTCTGGACTTTTCTCAATTATCTGGTTAGCTGTTAATTTGTCAAATCTTCTAAATAACTTCTTCCAACATAACTTTTTGGTTTTGTTTTCCGATGATTGATTATTCACGTTGCACCCCTCTACGTAACCGTTGGCTGAACAGCCCCAAATATAATTAAGTCTATGATTGATGTGCTTATCTGTATCGGAAGGAAACTTTCCCAGTGTGGCCATGCCGAGGGATGTTATAAACAAAAGCCAAGATATCTAGAAGTTGTTAAAGGCCTCAGAATTCTCTTCAGCTGCCTCCCACTTCAGACCTTTCCCACCCTTGCCCTGACCAGGTCCCTGCCGTACGAGTGACAGGTCATAGTGTAGAAACACAGTTCGAGAGAGAACCTCTTCACCCTCCTTATTTTTAGATTAATATTTATGGATATGATAATATCTCTTGGTTATTGAAGAAATTTGCCAGATGTGATATTTGGTATTTAATAAATATTATCTCTACTCCTGTGAGATTGGTGGGATTTTTTTCCACTTTACAGAAAGGAAACCAAGCTTCAGAAAATTGACAGGAATTATCTCCGAACCTACAGGTAGTGAATGGTGCCTCCCGGCTTCACATTCACATCTGTGCAGGTATAATGCCTATACTTTATCTTTGACAGTATGCTGCCCTTTCGTTTTGCATTCTACAAAACAAACTCCATGCAGAAATCTAGAGTATTCCAGTTTTTAGGCTAGAAAAACTGTAATTGGATGGTCAAGGAGAGGTTAAAATTTCATTAATTCTTTACTCATTTCAGAACAGTACAGTGTGCCAGATACTCTGTATATCAATTAATACCTCTCCTTATACCCTCAGAAACTTTTAATGGCTTCAAGGAGCAAGTGTTTCTTCTCCTGAATCTGTGGTCACCCGAGTGGTTCTTCTGGTCTGTGTCAGCTTGGTGGACCTTTGCACTCTGGTGGTCGGGCTGGGCTCTGGTTGGTCTGAGGGGTGGGATGCTCACCTGGGTAAAATTGTTTCTCTTTCCTATAGTTGTTCATCCTCCAGTAAGCTAGCCCATAATGCATCCCAGGGTTCCAGAGAGCAACAGAAAAAACGATCTCTGGTATGTTAGTGCTGGTGAAGCCTCTGCTCACGTCACATCCACTAATGTCTTGTTGGCCAAAACCAGTCTCATGGCCAAGCCAGCGTCTGTGTGCGAGGCGACTGCCCAAGAGCTTGGATTCAGGGAGATGTGAAGAGATGTACAGACTTTACTACGAGCTTCTACCTCTCTCCAAAATAGAGAGATACCTACTCTCCCTGACTTTCAGGGTATACACTCAGTCAGTAAGATGGCAAGTGTATATCCGCTGAGTGAATAACTGTGGCATAAAGCAGGATCTGATAAGAGTCACATAAAATGCTATGATTCAGGGGTTCAGGGGATGGCCTTCCAACCTGAGGCAGTGAAGGATCCAGTCCCACAAGGAACGACATTAGAACCAGGCACCAAGGGTTAGGTGGAATTAGAGTTTAGCAGCAGGGGATGAAGGTAGAACCAGTAACATGGAGAGAGGTGACTGTTGCAGAGCACGAGGCATATTTGAGTTTGGATGAGGTGATGGGTGTGTTCTTTTTTACTTTCTCTGTTGCGCTCTGGAACCCTGAGACCACAATATGGGCTGGCTTCCTGGAGGGTGAAAAACTACAGGAAAATGAGTTCTGGATGAAATGCCGTTGGATCTGGCAAGAACTCCATTGTTATCTGGAGTCAGTGATAACTCTGAGAAACAGCTTTACTGGAAGCCAAATTGCAAGGTGTTAAAGAGTAAGTGGACAGGGAAAGAAAGATAGCAGTTGAGTTCAAGGCCATTTTTATAGTTGGGAGTAGAAATATTTTAGTGGGAGAGGAAAATTGGATCAATTCTGTGGACAGAGTTGGTGGATCTAATGATAAAGGATTAAAATATCTTCATGAATTTTTGGGGGGGCGAGGGGGAGAGGGAGAGGAAGAGAGAGAATCTTAAGCAGGCTCCATGCCTAGCCTCAGAGCCTAACATGGGGCTCGATCTCACGACCCTGAGATCATGACCTGAGCTGAAATCAAGAATCAGATGCTTAACCAACTGAGCCATCCAGGTGCCCCAAGGATTGAAAGTCATGAAATCAGAAGTAATTGGTTGAACAAGCCCCAAAGCAGACTAGATTGGGTGGAATTGAGACTACAGGAGTGCCTTAGATTAAAGAATTTGGGATTAGCAGGTGAGATTAAACATGCAGTTACCCCATGACCTGTAATAATTTTTTGGAAAAGGCAGAGGGCTTTGTGCTTCCAGGACACCATACTGTAAAACCCAATTACAGAGGAAAAGAGGGTACCATCTAGGTAAAATGGGAATATCATGAATCATATAATGATTCATATCCAACCTGGTGGCACACAGACAAGCTTCAGGCCATGTTTGGACAAAAGATAGATATTTTTGTTAGTACCACAAAGTTGGGAAATTTTAGGTAAAAATTTCTGACTCCTTTGACAAAACAGAAGACTTGGCTAAACGAGGCCTTCGTTTCCCGATGTTAATAACTAGCTGGAGTTGAGTTACAACCGACTCTGTCAATGGCACCCAAGGTCTCTGGTTCCACACGGTTTCCACCCCTCATCATCTTGCCAGTGCTGAGGCAGGATGTGGGTAGACATTGTCCTAACAGCTGTGTTGGTGTTTGTATTATACAGGGAAGTATTTCTTGGTCTCCATGTTCTCCAACGTGGGGAAATAAAAGTGGCCAAAGAGTATTTCAGACAAATGGGACACCCTATTTCTTTGAGGACTGATTTTCGTGCAAAATATATTTGTGTAAGGCGATTGACAAGATTTTTCTACCTGTCTGGCTTCCGTAGGCTTTTGAATTTGCAAACCCTGTGTACAGATTCTAGCCATCCACTCTATTCAACTTCCGCTCTTAGAGAAGATTATTTTTCCCTGTGGCAAAGGGGAAAAACATGGTTAGTGTGTTTTAATGGATGTGCATCATGTTAAATCTTTCATTCTGGCCTAAATGTTTATCCTGACACATGTAGCAAGAGACTGCCGTAGGTTCACAGACCTCGAAGTTCATTTAGCTAGGAGTTAAGAGGGTTAAGGGAGTCTAGCAAGGTGCCTGAGAAGAGAAGCATATAACAAAAGACTTTGTTTTAAAAAAGAATATGAAAATATAGGTTTCATAAACTAAGCATGATTCCGGTAAGTTTCTTTTTTTAAAGAACACTTCAAACTAATGACCACAGATTTGAAACTTTATCTTTTACAGGATAAACAAGTTTGATCATACTCTCTGGTTATTTTATATATAATTTAAATTATATGATTATTTTTATACTATTACTACTTTGTTACAGATACGTTGAACAAATTGAATGTTATGTGGAATTCTGTTTTTCCTCAAAAAGCCAAATCCTCAAAATGCTTCTAGATCTTGTGGATTTTATTATGATGATGATGATGATGATGATGATGATGTTCAGTTAGCCAACATATAGTACATCATTAGTTTTTGATGTAGTGTTCAACGACTCAGTTGCATATAACACCCAGTGGATTTTTATTTTTTATTGTTTCTTTTTTTTTTTAAGTTTTCATTTACATTCCAGCTAGTTAACATACAATGTAATGATAGTTTCAGGTGTACAATATGGGGATTCAACACATGCATATATCACCCGGTGCTCATCACAAGTGCCCTCCTTAGTCCCCATCATCTATTTCACCCATCCCCCCACCGCCTCCCCTCTGATAACTATCAGTGTGTTCTCTGGAGTTAAGAGTGGATTTTTAAAAGAGGTCTCATAAGTAATATGCTAACATAAATGACAGACTTTTATGGTGGAAGTATTATTTGGTAAACACCTTAAAACATACTGTGAGTGTAATGCTATGACTTTTTCTCGGTTTTTTTCCATTTTTTCCCCCTCAACTAATTATATCTTTGCCTTTTTTTTCTATCAAGTTCTTTATCTGTCTCTTGTTAGTTTGATGAGCTCTTTCTGTGCAATGCATATTAGCCCTCTCTCTGTTGGGCACATTTTTTCTGATCTTTTGGTTGGGTTTTACCTTTTTCTATTCCAAGATTCACAGCATGTAGATATTTCATTGCCAGATCCGTGAATTGTTTCCTTTGTCTTCTGAGTTTTCTTTCATATTCCCCACACTAAAATTTTTAAAAAGAATTCTAATTTTTAATTTTTTAAAAAAGATTTTATTTGAGAGAGAGCGAAAGTGAGATCACAGAGGGAGAGGGAGAAGCAGGCTCCCCCCTGAGCAGAAAGCCTGATGTGGGGCTCGATCCCAGGACCCTGGGATCATGAGCTGAGCCGAAGGCAGATGCTTAACCAACTGAGCACCCAGGCGCCCCTAATATTTTTTTTAATTAAAATAACATATGCATTAGGTTAAGCCTATGAAATTGCTTCATAGTCCTGATTTGTAGGTCAGAAAACAACAGAATGTCAGCAGTTTCCTATGGCTTTATTTAATAAATTGTTTGAAAAGTCAAACAGTATTTGCAAGTCTTGCAACCCCAAACAAGTGTACCTTTCCCTTTTCCAGTCCCACCTTTTCCCTCAAGAGACCACCACTTTAGCTCTGGTTAGCTGTTTCTTCTGGTATGTACAGAATATAACTGTCTTATAATGATATTTCTGGATTTTTTTCTAATATTTACTGAATGCCTA